ACATCTTGAAATGTATTGCATGGTGTTATGAAAATATACCATGATGGGGCTGGGAAGGTGGCTCAGTGGTAGAGCGCTTGTCTTGCATGCATGAGACCCTGAGTTCGATTCCTCAGCACCACATAATCAGAAAAAAAAAAGCCAGAAGTGGTGCTGTGGCTCAAGTGGTAGAGCGCTAGCCTTGAGCTGAAGAGCTGAGGGACAGTGCCCAGGCCCAGAGTTCAGGCCCCACGACCGGACCCCCCCCCAAAAAAAAAAGAAAGAAAAGATACCATGATTCGAGGCTTACACAGTTATTAAAATAATCATGATTCTCTCCTCCAAACTCTGTAAATTCTTTTTTAAGATTCAGCTCAAACAAGAACTCCTTAGAAGGCCTTCCTGACAGGTCTGAATGGTTTTCTCCTATTCCTGGAGGGCTTGCAAGAGTTTGAATGAGATTTATCTGTTTGTTGTATTCCAAAGTTAAGATGCTTTGCCGTCTAGGACAGCCTCAGGAACTCTAGTCAAATAAGAAATTATAGATGAATATTCAGGTCTTAGATGACATTCTCATTAACTTTTTATAGTTCAATGGAGTTTTATCATTATTACCTTATGAAATGCAAGGTAATTCTCTTTCCAGATCCATCTCTACCTCTTATTTAGACCCTAGAGGTGCTATCTTCTCCAAAGAACTTCAGGAGACAGCCTAGACAGCTCAGACCTGCTATCTTCCTTCCTCAGTCTCCAGAGTGCTAGGATTATTGCTACACATACAAGAGGAGCTTCAAAGTTTGGTGCTTCAAAGGTGCCAATCACTCACACCTGTAATCCTAGCTGCTCAAAAGGCTGAGATCCAAAGACCATGGTTCAAAGCCAGGCCAGGCAGGAAACGTCTATAAGACTCTTATTGCCAGTGAACGCCCAAAAGTAGAGCTCTGGTTCAAGTGATTGAGCTTGAGCCTTGGGCAAACAAAAACAGAAAAGAAAAGAAAAGGAAAACCTCAGGGACAGCACCCAGGCCCAGGGCTCAAGCCCCACAACAACAACTACTACCACAACAACAAAAGGCTGTTTTTACTGAGCAATACTGGCTCCTTACTCATGGGCACAAATTAACTAGAAACAAGTTAAAAATAAGTTCTCAGTCCCACTTTCCATCTGCATCCTTAGGTGTGAGCTGGTGTGTCCAGCAGTCACTAGAGATCTCCTTGGATCCCAGGAGGGACAGGATCTCTCACCGATATCTTGTGACAGGTGACATAGGCCAGGCTCATTGACTCCGATCTTGTGGCAAACGTAAAGCAGCCCTGAGCTAAGGATTGACACCTTCCAGGCAGTAATTGCTGGTGTGTTCCCACTCCCCTCCAGAGACAAAGATCCAACTCCAACCAGGCCACACCAGCAACTGGAGGTGAGGAGTTATTATGTGCACCCTGCCTATAGAACCCTCCTGCTCATGTCTGTACCCCAGCAAGGATGAAAGATACACTGAAGTGTTGTCTTTCTGTGGCTGTCACCTCAGCCTTCTCCCTTCTCTGCCCTTTGTTCTTTATGTGTCCTATAGGGGTGGATGACTGGACCTGATGTGAGAAACTTCTAGAATTTGTGCCTAGGATATAATAAATCTCCAGTCATCATGCCTGAGCCCAAGAACTTGACTTTGGTGTCGTTTACTTGACATACAGAATATTTATTCTGTTAAAAAAAAAGTGGTCTAATTAAGCCATCCTTTCATAGAGTTAATATACTACAGACTTGGCTTCTAGAATGTTGTTTATTCCATAAAACAATTAAGCACTCCTTTTGTAGAGTTAATACTTTCCAGTCATGATCAATTTCCCTCAAAGTGCTTTTTCTAACACACTGTATTCTCACACTAACCCTGTAAATATGCATTCCCAGTACATTCCCTTTTTTGATGTTGGGCAGCAAAACTGAAATGTCCTTCCTGAAGTCAGAGGCAAGGAAAACAGGAGATAAGCCTGGGTAGTGCCCCCCTCCCCCCTCCCCCTCCCCCCACCCACCCCCTGCATGCCCCTCATTAGGAAAGACCTGTAAGCGATGCTTTAAAACTCTGCTGATCAGCAGGTAGATTAAGATCACAATTCAAAGCCAGCTGAAGCAGGAAAGTCAATTAGACTCTTAAGTCCAATTAACCACCATCAAAAAAAGAAGCCGGAAATGGAGCTGTGGTTCAAGTGGTAGAGTACAAGTCTTGAGCAGATAAAGCTCAGTGACCACACCTAAGCCATACACACACACACACACACACACACACACACACACACTCACATACTTGTTCTTTTCTGAGAAACACTATTCACTTGGACCTAGAAAATAGCAGAAGGCAGAAGAAAAGCCTGGCCTTTGCTGCCTGCATAGACCCTGGGCCGTTCTCTCTGCAGTCTCTTTACAATCAGCGTGGCATCCCAGAAGCCATCAGGAACACCAGATCGATCGCTAATATCTTGGTGAAGTGGGCTGACGCTGCCCTGAGGAAAACCAGGCAGGCAGTGGCTTGCCTGTCCCTCACAGACAAAGACAGCCACAACAGCTTCTCCGGACCCCTCCCAAAATAAGGCCTAAAATAATGATCAGTCAGGTCATACGCTGATGAGGACTTTTTGATCATTATGTGAATCCCTCTCCCTTTTGCCAGTCCTTTGTGGGCTTGAAGCTCAATTCCTATCTGCACCCTGAAACTGACTTTGGCGGGGCTGAAGGGCTGTGTGTGGGTGCCCATCTCTGCCATGGGAGAACTCTTTCTCTGCTCTGCACCATGGTTCTTTATGTGGTGCCTAGAGGTGAGTGGCTCAACTTGCCATATGGAACTCTAGGGTCTATAACTCTGGTCTCCACCCCTCTTGAGGGACTTCCTTGGGTACCAGGTGATGCTAAATTCTCAAATCCCTCATGCTTTGCTGGAAAAAAAAGAAAGAAAGAAAGAAAAGCCACTGAAAAGCTAGACATGTGGAATTGACAAGTGCTGACATCTTGAATCCTATAAAAGATTCTTATAAAAAAAAATCCCACCTGAAGCCAGGTCTCAGTGGCTCACATCTGTCATCTTAGCTACTCAGGAGGCTGAGATCTGAGGATCATGGTTCAAAGACAGCCCAGGCAGGAAAGTCCATGAGACTCTTATCTCCAATAAACTACCAGAGAACCACAAGTGGCTCTGTGGCTCAAGTGGTAGAGCGCTGGTCTTGAGCTGAAGAGCTGAGGGACAGCGCTCAGGCCCAGAGTTCAAGCCCCACGACTGACTAAATAAATAAATAAAAATCCCACCTGGTTCACATTCCCTTTCACAGAGAGAGTAATCATTACTCAATGAGGCAAACACACTACATATGTTTGTGTAAAAACACTTAGCAATGATAGCTCTTCTCTTTCTTTCTCTCACACACACACACTCACACACTCACACACACACATACACATACACAATCTTGGTGAGCCAAGATTTCCCTACCATTCTCTCTTCTGAGAACTGTAAAATAATAATCAAAATTCGATATAGTGATTTCCTTAGAAAATAAAAGCAAGTTTCTCATCTGGAAATCACTCCCCAACTTGACCCATATCATGAGCCCCTTGCAGGTCAGGGTTGAGCACTTGACGCTGAATGAGAAGAAATATATAACAGGAAGAATGAGGGAAGGGGTGACACCGACCAAGAACCATGGTACTCAGAACCTGACTTAGGGAATTGTAACCTCTTTCTACAGCTACTTAATAAAAACAACTTTTTTTTGGAATAACTATGTAATAGATGGGGTGGGAATCTTGATCCATCCCACAGTCAGCCAAGCTCAAAGAAACAGCATGGCAAAGATGTCCATTGAAGTTCTCCTATTGGTGATGATAAGAGAATAAAAGCACCACTGGTGAGTCTGGGAGGAATTGGACAGGGTGGGAGAGGCAGGGGACCTTAAAGGCTCTCCCGCCATTCATTCGCAAGCCCTTCCTGCCAACAGTCCATTCACAGCCATTTTCTAAGAATTTTTCTGTAGCTTCAATTACGCATGAAAATGGGTTACAGTTATTTTTCCTCTCCAGGGTGCCCCATCTAGCTAATGGGAGCCTCCATCTTTGCCTCTTGAAAGTCTAGTGGCTTTTTCCCCCAATCTCCACTCACTTATCAAACTTGAGTGACTCCAAATGGTTTCTTTCCTGCTCTCTTTCTAAGAAGAGAATTTCCTCTCTCCTTTGTAGGAGTCAGGAGGGGTGTGTATTCTGTGATCTTTTCCTTGCATGAGTCCATTAACACAACTTCTAAAAGAGGAGGACTAGTCTGAGATACATTTTTAGTACAATTATACATTTGTATTCAAAAGTGTGTGTTTTTTTTTAATCCATGTACTACCCTGAATATACAAGGACTATTCTGGAAGATGTTAAAGCAACTGGATAGCAAGCTAGGAAGTTAGGGAAGATGAGAAAACAGACTTTAATTTCTGGGCGTTTAACTCTTCAGGTGTTATCTTTCAAAATGAAAAGGGTGGGGGCGGGCACAGTCCTAAAATTCAACGAATAGCCAACAAAATTAAGACAAAGGAGGGAAGGGACCGGTGGGAGGGATGGAGGAGAACAGGAGAAAAGAGGGATGTAGATCGAGACCCCTCCTGTTCATATACTGCTTTGTTGAATGGCAACGACTTAAAGAGCAAAAGAAAAGGAAAGGAAAGACGATGTGAAAGACCTGGGACTTTGGGGAAAAGAGTTTAATTAAGAGGGGAGGGGCGCAAATGCCCGGGTAACTTCCTAAACCTTACCTCCTCCCCAAGCCAGCCGAAGGTGGCTCCAGCTCAATCTTGAGGCTAGACAAGTTATCCCCAAGTGAGCACGGATGTGAGAGTTCCCAACGACCGTAGAGGGAGAGAGAGAGAGACAGAGACAGACAGAGGAAGGTGAGGAGGTTGGAGTCCCTGTGTGCTGTGTGCGCTTGGGCGCAGCAGGAGCCGCCGGCAGGGAGCGGCAGGGACTACAGGCGGAGGCGCGAGGCGCGGACTCACCGCCCAGCCAGGTGTCCCAGAGGTTCTGGAGCGTGGTGATGGGGATGCAGAAGAAGGCGATGAGCAGGTCGCTGAGCGCCAGCGAGCAGATGAAGATGTTGGTGACGGTGCGCATGGCCTTGCTGCGGGTCACCACGTAGACCACCAGCGCGTTGCCGAAGAGCGCCAGGGCGAAGATGAGCGCGCCGGCCAGCGCCAGGGCCAGCTTGGCGCGCGCGGGCAGCTCCGGGGTGTAGACGAGCGGCTGCAGCGCGTAGCGCGCGATGAACTGCGCGCGGGTCAGGTTGTGCTCGCGCAGCAGCCGGGACAGCTGCTCGGGAGTGACATTCAGCGCCGGCATCTCCGGGGAACCAGACCAGAAAGTTCTTCCCCGGCT